AATGATTAGAAAGGAAATTATGAAAATGCCCTTATAAAGTAAAAAAAGGTCATGGAATATCTCTGGAAGTAAATTCGATTAACCTCAAAATGTGTGACATTTTGTTGACCTAATTAAAAAAGAACCCAAAATTTTATTTATTACAACAACCTACCCCTTTAAATCACTATTAGATTATGATGAAAGCTACCAAAGATATAATGGATTTTGCCCCAAATTTTATATGCCTCTCAAAAAGGAAACTACACACTTCAAAATCCATTGTTCTTTAGGGTAAAATACATGTTTAGTCACCCACCTATTATCACAGTTCTGCTTTGGTATATGGATTTTCTTTGCATCATTTTCAGGATTTACCACATCAAAGGTAGCTTGTTGTGGCCTAGGACCCTACAATGGCTTGGGACTATGTACCATAGTATCGAATATATGCCCAAACCGAAACAAATATGCTTTCTAGGATGCGTTCCATCCTTCTGAGTGGGCGAACGACATAATCGTGACCATGATTTTGAGTGGTTCGGTTAATTACATGAGCCCCATGAACTTTAGTTCTCTCTTAGCTTTGGACTTTAAAACCAAGACATAGTTAATTAGTTAGCATTCTAATAAGGATAGTGAGCCCTTTTAGTTGAACCATTGTTGTTCGTTTGCATTGCATGGATGCTTCTATGATTTTGATTATTATGGCGTTGTGGTTTGAATAATTTGCAATTATGTAGTGTTTGAATCTGTTTTCTATTGTGATATCTAAATTTCATTTTTTATTATTGTTTACATTTATAAGGAGAAAAATCTTGTTTGATATTTAAAAATAATATTATTAAAAAGGATATGTATAAGCTACAAATACATGCATTAATTATATATAAATATTCAAATTTTAGAGATGATATTATCATATGTTTTAATTTATTTGATCTTATAACATTTCATTATTGAAAAAAAGAAATAACGTTCGAACAACTATTTAAAAAACTATAACATTTCAAATGAAGAAAATATAATAAGAAAAATTAAGGAGTCAATATCAAAATTATTTAAAATGTTAGTTTTATCTCAAAATCTATGTTTGAATTGAAAACTTGGTTTCATAATAAATGAATATATATATTAATTTTGATAATCACATTTTTGTACCATAATATATTTATGTCCTTATTCTCGTCTATTAATTTCAAACTAAGCAGCCAATATGAAACGGACTTTGGCATTTAATAACGTGCATGGAGAATTTTTTCCTTTTCAAACATTTTTTTAAAAAAGCTGGGGTCATACATCAATTTATCCGAAAAGTATTTTTTTTTAAATAGAATACACAGAAAATAATTATTTACGAATCAATAATATTTTAAATTTGGTTTTAGGTAAACTCCATAAATGGCCCTTAAACTTTTAAAGTGCTTGTCAGTAGTGAAGTCGCCGTTTATAAAAGGTCAATTGACACCTATTTTTTTATATAATTTTTATATTAAAACATTAAAAATAAAATTAACACTGATATTGCTATCACTTTAAAAATAATTATAATATTTCAAAAATCTACACATAGTCTGCTCATGTCTCCTTAAAAATATTTCTTATAAGTTTTTAAAATTAAGATATCATAATTTAATTTTTTTTTTAATTTCGTTCTTATGAGAGAAAAAAATACCGGTCGTATATTACTATAATTTGCTTTCAACTAATATTGATGGTAATTACTATACTTTCTTGTTCGTGAAGATCGGTTGCCACTTCCACCTAAGCTTTATTTCTCAACATGTGCCAATATTAATTAACTTGTTTGGTAAATTTAGCATATCTTTTTTATTGGTTGCATGCGTTATTTATTGCAGTTTGATCTTTGCACTCACAATGGGCGGTGCATTGGAACAACTCTTTGGAGGCTTTTCAGCCATTAACATGGAGACAAACATTTAAAGTGGGCTCATTCAAAGTAGAACGCAAAATTTTAGATTAGAAAATTTTAATTTCTAATATTTCAAGGGAATATTAACTTATAAAATTCTAAAAGGAGAAAATAAATTATCAATGGAAAAAAATAAAAAAAAATATAAGATAATTTAAAACTTTTAGGGGGACTGCCCCACCCGCTTCTTCCTCGATCTATCCCTTGACACACATTTTTCTTTCTCCTTCCTTATTAAGTCTAATAATTTTAGACGAGCTATAAAAATAAAATAAATACCCCATAAACTAAGATTTAAAAAAAATAACACTAAAAAGTTATATATAACGTTAGATGTTGATTATATTCACTTGACAATATTTTTCTCGAAAAATCATATTTTAATATATACATTTGTAATGCAAAAGTTGAAAGAGATGATAAAAATAAAAAGCATGATTGTTAGAAAATGATTAATTATTTTAAGGCTTAATTAGTAAATGATTAATTTAAATTATATTTTTTAAAAAACCCAAAATTTTCTCAAATTATTAAGAACCCTAAAAATTTTAAAACCCTAATTTCAATATCTTTTTCACCCTCGGCCACCGTCGCCACGGCCAATCTGGCAACCCAACGACGTAAGGTCGACAAACCACCCGCCACCAAAATCCCATTTTTTTGCAACCGGTCAAGCACCCAATGATGGTGTAAGTGTAACATTTTGCGAACGTCAATTCCCACCTCTGTCGTCGATTTTTGTTGCAATTAGAGGTTGGAGTAAAGGAGTTTTGGTCATTGTATAACACCCCTAATTTGTTTACTTTTAATTTGATTTTATTTAATTAATTTTGGGACCAGATTATAGGATTCTAGAAATTCTAGGACAGGTTTTGAAGTCCCTAAAAACTCAAGGACTCACCCCTAAATTTACCCCTCTTTCAGACAAAAAAATGAATGATGAAAATAGGTGAATGTGGTGGCCATACCTTAACCATTAGGCTAGGCTACTATTGATGTTAGGAAGAGCTTAAAATATGTTTTAAACTATTTAGAATGGGATTTGAATCCCCCAAATCAATTTTTCCAATCAGAGTCAAATCCCTAAAAATTAAAAACACCCCTCAATTTTGTTCTAATCCTGTCGCTTCTCCACCAATCCATAACCATCATCCGATCGCCGTGGAGATGCTCGAGAAGTCGTAAAAAACTTAGCCCCGTAGTTGCATTTTCTCTAATTCTGGCCACCAAAAGCGACCATTGACCATACCACCTCTGTTACTGAGTTCTCTAGTCGTTCCCGTAAAAAAAACCCAAGTTGTTTCATCTATGCGACATCGCGGTATTGTCATCCGCCGTTAAGGGTAAGGCCGATTCACCTTTTCGATTAATCTACGTCATTTTAACTGAATTTTTTTAAATGTTATGAGTTGATTTGCCGAGTGATTGAACAATGAGTGATTGGCCACCTAAACCAACCTTGTCGTCACCGCACACGTTACCACGTGTTGCCTTGACGCGTGGGCTTCATTTTCCGATCGAATATTCTAGAACCGACCTGAGTCAATTCAGACCTGACTAAATTAACTCAAATTAATCGAGTCAACTCAAATCAATATAAGTTAACAAGAATCAGTCAAATCGTTGACTTTGAGTGAATCATTGACCATGACCCAGACCATTAACTTTAACCAGGGTAAACTTTGATCAAAAAGTCAAAATTTTTTACTGATCATATTTCATGTTTTTCAATGTCTTGGTCTGAATTTCCAGTACGTTTTGCAAAATTCTAAACCAGAAGTCTTTGAATCGAGCATTAAACACTGAACATGCATATGTATTTAATTATTTTATTTAAGTGAATTTAAATTTAAGGTCAAGGACTAGTTCATGCTATTAATTATTGAAGGTCAAGACTCTCCCGACCACTCATAAGCTCGACCCAGTTCTCCTCAATCCGTCCGACCACGTGAGCATGTGATTACCTGTATAATTTTGTTAATCCTCTAAATATTTTGATTTAAATACTATTTTGGTAGTAACCCAGATTCGTTATGGTTTAGATTCGAGCGCTGATGTAGAGCGTAACAAAGTTGATGCTCAATGGACTTCCTATAATGATTCATTTTTTAGGTGTGTTCTTTATGTGCTACATATTGATTTAAATATCTGTTTTAAATTTTCATGTGCACATGATTATTTTAACTGATTTGAAATATGATTGTCTGATCTGATTTTTATACTGGTTGATTTATCTGATCTGAAAGCCTGATTATGTTTATCGACTTTTATTTTACTAAATTTTAAATCTCTATTTGATTGATACATGCTTTATGTTTTCTAATATTCATTGAAAAATAACTATGCCTGATTTACAATCTACTGGTTTTATTGGAACTATCTAAAACTATTTTATTGGGGTACTTATGGGGTGTGATATGGAGTTTTGCAGGTTCAGCTCCGATCATAATAGTAATCCTTATGGACCTAAAACGACCCTCGGGTAGGCTCTTGGGCTTAATAGGCCTAGTGGTAATACTTTATAGACCATATGGCATTCCTATATGATGGCTCTTTTGCTTTGTGCACTGGGTAAGTCCTTATGGAACTTAGGGCACTACCCTCATGTGGCTTATTTTCCTTATGCATTAGGTAAGTCCTTATGGACCTGAGGACACTCCCTTCAGGTGGCTCATTTTCTTTCTGCATTGGGTAAGTCCTTATAGACTTGAGGGCACTCCCATCATATGGCTCATTTGCTTTGTACATTGGATAAGCCCTTCTAGATCTGAGGGCACTCCTCTCAAGTAACTCCTACGCTTCAGCTAAGGTAAGTCCTTATAGACCCAAGGTGTTCCATTAGGTTGACTCTCAGGTCCAATGGGCCTAGGGTAAGTCCTTATGAATGCATTTCTAGGGAACTATATATGGTGTATGCTTGAAGGGTAACTCTGTGTTTTAAATAAAAGGTTACTGTCATTTTTATACTATGACTCTGACATCATTCTTGAAATTATCCGTATGTTTTTATTTTGCACTTAATGAAAGACACTAAGCTCTCTAGCTCACTCCCCCAAATTTTATTTTTCAGATGCTTTTGGATGGGCACCCAGACCTGACACTTAGAGGATCGACACGTTTCTTACTATACTTTTGTTGTAATGTTTTCATCTTCTGAACTGCCTTTATTTTGGTGACATGTGAATATATTTTGCTATATTTATTTTATAATGTATTTTATTTTACTATTGATGTATGAATTTGTACGATACTAGTTGTTTGGATTCCACACTTATGCATGATGTTTTATGTTTTCATTTAACTTTATTATTTTTAATTATGTTTTTAAAGGTTTTTGGTTACGCTTGATTTTAAAGGGTTTAAAGGTGTTTGGTTACGCTTGATTTTAAATGGTCTGAAAATGTTTTAGAAAATTTTTAATGTGATCTACTAGACCTAGTCGTGGTGCATAGGCTAGGTCTAGGGGTTTACATTTGGTTGGTATCAAAGTTTTTGGTTTTTTTAAATATCGATTTATGGATAGGTCAAAAATAAAAGCGTAGTTTTGAAATATTTTAAAAAACCAATTTCAAAGGTCTTGTCACTAAATTTTATAAGTTTAACTATGCACAATACTTTAGTTCCAAATCTAATCTTAAGTTCTTACCCTTGTGTAGTGAGCTTCGAGATCTATCGATATGAGTGCTAGGCGAGGTCTTTGGCCATCCCTTGTGTGAGTTCCCCCTTCTAGATTCTTTGTTTTGAATGAGGACCCGTCATTGCCAGTAGATCCTCACTCCCTTGTTGGTCGTTTAGTTTCAAGAGTTTTGTCGCTTGCTCCCGTGATTGATATTATAACACCCTAAATTATGGGCTAGTAGTTTCAGGTTTACTCGAGAGGTAAGTGGACATTGTGAAAGGTTATAAATTAAGTTGATGGGCTTAATTGGGTTAGATTCGGTGCCCAATTAGCTATAAAAATGAGATTTTAATTATAAGACAAAAGACCAATAACTAAAAGTATAATTATACCATTAAAGTAATTTGAAGCTAAAATTAGGGTTTTATATCAAACTTTCACGTGGACTTCCCCATTTCTTCTTCATTTTCTTCCTTTAACTTTTTCTCTTCTTCTTTTTTTCATCTAGTCTCCATAGCATTATTTAGTGGTAAGAACTCATCTTCTTATCTTTTATAAGTTGCAAATCAGCCACACTTTCTCCCCATAACAATCTTATGTTAAGAAAATCTTTGTATCTTTGTTTGTTAGAGGAAAAAAGAGGGAAAATCAAAAGGAGAGTGATTGTTAGGTAAGAAGGTTTATTTAGGGTTTTAACCATCAAGGTAGTGTATTTCAAATCATTTGGAGCATCAAGACTTCATAAATCACAAGACATTGTTAAGATTTGTGTATCTCAGTATTTGGGGTTTTACATTTGATTTATACCATAAATCACAAATTTGATGTTTCATATATGTTTTATGACACCTTAAGACCCTAGATAACTACCCATAACATTGGTGCATGATTTAGAATCAAACTATGGCCTTTAGGGTGATTTTTAAGTGATTGCTGAGCCTAAAATACCCATTTCTAGGTTCGAGTATCTATACTGGTTAAATTGGAACAAAACAATTAGGGGTTTTATGCTAGAGTATCGATACTTTCAAGGGGATTATCGATATACTGCAGGGGAAGCATTGATACTCATGGTGACAGTATCGATACTGAGGCCCCAATTTTATGGCAGGATGCATTTTTGGTACCAATACTCATAAGTGTATCGATACTTGACCCTAGGGTATCAATACTACAAGTAGAGTATCAATACTACTCACTTTAGATGGTCATATTTGACCCGTTTAATGTTCGTAAGAGCTAAGGATGATCCGTAATAGTGAGACTTAGTCCATGAGGGACATAAATGACCAAACATACCTATAAACACTCGTAATAGCGGGTTACAACAGGAGTAACCATATTAAACGTAATACACAAAAATATCTTTGACGAGGATGAATACGAATATTCAGGATTGATGGTTGTTAGGGGGACATCTGATATGCAGTATGATGATTATGTCAGATTCAGTGGTAGTGAAAATTATGAGCTTCAAATATGTTAATGAAACCGGGAAGAGAAAGTTGTCATTTTCAATTCAAGAATATCCAAAGGGAACTACGATAAGGTCAAATAGAATGTCGCTACTCAGAAATAAACCTGAGAAAATATCAGGTTAGCTAGCTTATCAGATAATAAGTAAGCCTTTGCTTAACGTTCTAGATGAGAGAATGAGTGAGGTAACACACTATATAATGCCTCTACGAATATTTAGGAAAAAGCTTCTGCTTCTTTTATAATTATAATACCATACAATATATAAATACAATAGAAATACACAATTTACTCTCCTTTTTCTGAACGAAAATACTGTAACTCACATCTACAAGTAAACACACTAATGCGCCGATTTGTTAGCTTAATAAATTTGAATAAAAGCAGTTTAGGTTATGTTTCAACAAAAAATAAAAAAGATAATATTGAAAAGATTGTTTACTTTAAACCACTGTCTCCTAATTGTATTAATAACTCAAGTCGAACTCGAGTCAAGTCCATTCGAATCGAATATTAAATAAACTTTGACCGAATCAAACTCGAGTAACTTATGATCCGTCTCGTCTCATTTACACAATAATGTATGTATATAGACTTCTATCTTCCATAATTTCTGCCATTTGTATATCTGTAAAGTACCAGTCAAAATGATTCAATTGTGGTGTTATGATATAAATTCATATCTAACCTAAGCTAGTTCTCTGTGACTGAGAAACCAAACCGGTTGCCAGACCAGACAGATCATTGTCATGTAAAATGCAACACTAGCAATAATTTCCCCGAAAAGGCTTGCGATTCACCATTTCACGTTCATTGGCGGTGATTTAAAACGGAATAGCAAAAGTTGGTTTCAAGTAGTATATTCAACTACCATAACAGCTTGCTTTTTATGCTTTGAAGCTTCTTTTTAATTCAATGATGGCTGAAATTTCAGTTCTATAAAGCAACCCCCCCATTAGTTTTCCTATGCACTTACAGCTCTCGGATTTGGTTTGCTCGTGACAATTCTAATGGCTTATTCATCGAAATTTTCCGATTTTTCGTTGGTTTTGCTCTTCCTATTACCCTTTGTGAGCATTGCTCCCTCGGCTGATGCTCGAGCTTTCTTTATTTTCGGTGATTCCCTTGTCGATAGCGGCAACAACAACTACCTTGCCACGACAGCTCGTGCCGATTCACCGCCTTATGGGGTCGATTATCCGAGTCGAAGACCAACGGGGCGGTTCTCTAATGGACTTAACATCCCGGACTTGATTGGTTGAGTCTCTAATAATGTTTTTTTCCTTTAGTGATGTTATTTTGTGAACAGACAACTTGAACATCTGTTACTTCAATGCTTGCCTGCAGGTCAGAAAATCGGCTTATCGGAATCACCATTGCCGTATTTGAGTCCAGACTTCAATGGGAAAAAGTTGCTTATTGGCGCCAACTTTGCTTCAGCTGGTGTGGGAATCCTTAATGACACAGGAGTTCAATTTGTAAGTTTTCAGTATCCTTTATTGAACTCTCCATGGTCGGGTTTGAGTTTATTTAAGCGATTTTACAATCTGAAATGTTGAATTTACAGGTAAATATACTAAGAATGTATAGACAACTAGAGTTGTTTCAAGAATACAAGCGGAGACTGTCGGGTCAGGTAGGATCGAAGCAAGCTCGTAAACTCGTAAACCAAGCACTCGTACTCATCACCGTCGGCGGTAACGATTTCGTCAACAACTACTACTTGGTGCCTTACTCCGCAAGGTCTAGCCAATATAAATTGCTTGATTATGTCAAGTTTGTCATTTCGGAATATCAGAGACTCTTGATGGTATATTAATTACTTCCTCAGTTTTCTTCTGCACCAAGACAGATAATAACATTTTAAAGACAGTTGACACTGTCAGTTGGTGAATATGTAAAAGAACAAAACCGAGATTGCACCAAACTCATGTTCCATGTTTTGCTTCTGCAGCAAGCAATCATAGAACATCAGATTTGGACCTTACTATATGCATTATAATGCATATCTTTGTTAAATGCATGCTGCACTTAATACTTCACTTAATATATAACTTGTTAATTAAATGGTTTGTGAACCCTGTTTTGTCCACCATTATTATTGCAGAGGCTATACAAGCTGGGGGCACGCAGGGTTCTAGTGACGGGCACGGGACCGATGGGCTGCGTTCCGGCTGAACTGGCTATGCGGGGAACGAATGGCGGATGCTCCGAAGAACTGCAACGTGCTGCATCGTTGTACAATCCCCAACTTGTTCAGATGTTAAATGGACTCAACAAGCAGATAGGCAAAAATGTCTTCATTAGTGCGAATACTCAGAGAATGCACAGCGATTTTGTTAGCGATCCTCGAGCATTCGGTACTCTCCTTGCTTTCATAATCCTCGATACTCCTCAATCATTTCCTTAAGAAAAGGGTTAACGTAATGCTTGTGATGGTTGCAACAGGATTTGTGACATCGCAGATAGCCTGTTGTGGACAAGGACCGTACAACGGACTCGGTCTGTGCACGCAGCTGTCGAATCTGTGTCCGAATCGAGCTCTGTACGCGTTTTGGGATCCATTCCATCCATCAGAGAAGGCAAACAGATTGATCGTGGAACAAATAATGACAGGGTCTAATGAGTACATGCACCCCATGAATCTCAGCACTATCATGGCAATGGATTCTAGGATTTGACAATAACTCTTTCCTTTTCGTTTGGTTTTACTTCATCTGTCACATGTTGTGCAATAATCTGTTTGTTCAACTGTCCTAAATGTTAAATTCCGAACCTGTTTGCTTTTCTCTTTGGATGTAATGGAATTAAGATGATTGACGTGCATTTGTAATGCATTTGTAATGAATTGATGATAAGAATTAATGCTTTTAATCTTTATTATTCGTGATAAAATTATGGGCTATGTTAGATTTTCAAAACCCAGCCTGATAAGGCCTTCTCAATCTTGCTAATGAGGATCCACTCAAGGAGGAGTTCATACTCGTACCATAAATTTTTGCAACACATCATTTCATTTGACTAATAATATGATGTTTAATTTTATACTCTTATGTGCAATATATATCATATTTTCTATATTTGGCAGCTATAAGAATTGCTATAAGTATTTTCTATAATATGGTGCTTAGGAAGACAAACCTTTGGATATCAAAAATGGCGGATAAGTGACTAAACTGAAAGTTTACTATTTTATAAGGGTTAAATTAAAATTTTACATTTTCATTAGATTCCTTGATTTTGTTCTACCTCCGGAGTTTCTCCGCAAGTCAAACTATACTTTCATTCTTCCGCTTTTCAAACTCGGAGTTTCTCGAAGCCTTAAGAGTTTTATGAAATTTTAGGGGCTTCGTATTCTCCATAGAACTACAATAGCTTAATGTGATCATTAACAAGGCCACGTAATATACTAGCATATATGTCTCTTTGTCCTACCAACCTACAAAATAGCTATAATCACCTTAGACTTGACACCAACGTTAATAGGGTGTTTGATTCATAGATTGTGGGATTTCTATGTTTGGTTGGTCGGGAATCTCATTCCTAGTAATGTTTTATATTACCAATAGTAGATTTTTTTAGATATATTACCGGGAATGTCATTACCTCCATTCCCTTAGGTATTATAACATTACCTGCGTTTTGCACTAAAATGCCCTTAAATTTTTATTTTTTTCAAAAATATCATTCTTCTGTCATTGAATAATAAAAATTCTACGAAGTTTAAATTACAAATTTATCCTTAAATTATTTTAGATTTACAAAAAAAATAAGTCTATAATTAAAATTTTATATGAAGTTCAGGGGTTAAAATTTTTTTACCCTTTCATTAAACTTTTTTTATATTTTTAATTTTGTAAAAAAAATTATATAAATATTATGAATTTAATTTTTTTAAAGAAAATATATAAATATTTTACAATTTGTAATATTATACAAATATATAATAAGGACAATTTGGTCAAATATACATTCAAATAATCTTTTATTCCTTTAACCAAACACATTAATCTTACATTCCTGCTAAACCAACCAAACACAAAATACAACATTCCAAGTAATCATATCCCCTGATAATCTTTTATTCCCACTGGTAATCTTACATTCCGTGAACCAAACGCACCCTAAGGGTCTTTATATAAACCACCACACAAGGTTAAAAGACAAGGCGAAGATCTCTCTCTGACTCTTTGAATCTCTTTTCACGGTAGATCATCTTCCCCAGTTCATACGTCCTCTCTTTCCTTTAGAAAGAATCATCAATTGCATTTTTCCATCCAAATTAAAAGGAATGAATTGTCAAATGTCACCACGGCTCCGTTTTCCCGATTGATAAATTTTGAAAGGACTTCAACTACAATTTGACCGTTAGGGGGTCCTATTGTTGCCAACATAACTTTTTGGAGAAATGGATGGGAAAAGTTGGCATCATCAAAAGTAACTCTAAGGTAAACCGTTACTCCCATAGTAAAAGGCAAAGCAAGGTGTAATAAGCACTATCCAATACCCATTGCCAATAGGTTGGCTTTAGAAGTTTAAGCCTATAAGTGTTTGTTGTTCCATGTGGTGCGGTTCCAGTGTGCCGGAATGGTATTTGCTGATAACATGAATTACTTTGCTTTATAGAGGAACGTATGATAACATTAAAGATGATAATGTCAAACTTTCTAGGGAAGTGTACCCTAGAAAAGATGAGAGCTTTCCGTTCTTCATTATAGTATGAAAAAGAAAACCAAAAAGGATTAGAATGATGAGCAGTTTTAGTTTCTTTGTCGACATTTAGAATCCTAAGAAATAGGAACACAAGGATTCAATGTATACGTACCTTCAATCAAAAACTAAATAAATCAATGTATACCCAAAAAGATATGCAAAGTGTATTAAAGAAAAAGGCTCTCAAGATTACATAGGTGCCCAAACTATGAACTCCATTTTAAATCCATTCTTAAAGTTCAAAATATTTTAATCGTTCTCTAAACTCCATTTTAGAGGTTCACAAGTTTAATTCCCGATACTTTAATAAATATTATTTTTTTCATTGGTAGAGTTAACACAACATGAATGAAATGATTAAAATAGAATGATACTGATAGTTTGAGGCTTGATATAAAATATTTTAAAATTAAAATATCAATTTAAATTGAGTATTGTAGTTTAAGAATTGATATAAAATATTTTAAAATTTAAATCCTAATTTAAAACAAAAACCATAATTTAAAAACTCAATGTGAAATTAATTCTAATGTCTTCCCGAAAATATATTTTTATAAATAAATTAGATCTCATCGATATGATATCCGAGTTTTATATAAGATCTAAATTAAATTATTTAAAAAATTAAATTAAATATAAAAAATGTTATTAATCCATTAATTGGTAAATGACATATGGGTAATTAGATCTTTAAACAATTGTATTAGGTAAAAAATCGTGTATGGTACAATTCCTCAAAAAAAGAGATAAGTGAATAATTTAATAGGCATGACATGATTGATTGCTTATTATATGATTATAAAGCATATCTTGTCATCTTAATTAATTATATGATAAAAAAAAAGTACCTGTCCAACTCCTATAGTGCCTTTATGGGCGGTGTTTGACATCTTAGAAATAATAATAATAAATTAGGTTTTCCTTTAAAAATGGTTAAGATTCAACTGATATCATATTTATATGGCCTGTTCTCTTTTTTTTTCCTTCGAATTCTAAGGTTTCATCATGATTAATTTAGATCGACCTAGATCGCAGACTTGATTTTAGTGGGTGAGTTTCTCAATGGAGATTTTTTGTATACACAATAACTCAAACCTTAGACCTTACTTAAACGATATCAAATTGCTTACCAAATCAAACCCGTTAGTTGTATGGCATGTTCTTGGTTTCTTCTTAAACAAACCAGTGTGCCGAAAAAATCAAATAATTGGAAAATATATTAGGGCCAAAATAATAAAAAGGTCCCCAACTATTTAGCTAATGTTTATATTTTTCTTACATTGATGAAATTTTAATATTTAACATACTTCTTGTACAGAATGAATCATTACTTTTTTATTTTCATCTAAAATCTTATACCTAGTTTTTGCCCTAGCTTTTCTTTAATGTAATTATGTAGTTTTTTCTTCTAAACTATCGTCTTAGGTGGAGGCTTAATGTTGTTATCTCTTTTTTTCTTATTTTTTATTTAATTTTTTAGTTAGATTTAAATAAACATCATCCCCATTTTAATTTTTTTTTTCCTGTTGCATATTCTTGAAGAGTTTGATTTTGTATGTTTTTATGATATGATTGTTCATATGCTTTTATAGCATGATTTTCTATACCGTTACAATAGTTTCGTGTTTCGTGTTGAATTTATCACGAAACACCTTCTGATTGGGAAATGTCGACGATCTAACATAGTTAGATCCCCTTTTGCACAGTTTGTAATACCCCGATTTCTGGATTAGTAGTTTTGGGTAAAACCCGAATGAGTTGTGAATGGGCTAATAAACCATTCAAGAGTGTTAGGCTAGTAGATGGTTAAGTTTTGGTTTTGGGCTCGAGCCCAACAAGGCTTAAAAAGGGTGTTTTTGAGTTGAGTAACATAGGAGAGGGACTAGGAGTGTAATTAACCCCAAAACTATTCCAAAGCCTGAATATCATTTAAGGTTGGTAATGCAATCGGGCAGACTCTCTCATTTCTCTTTTTCATTTCCCTTTGTCCTCATCTTCCAACCTTATCTTCTTCGTCCCTTTCAAAATCTCTCATTTTTCTCCTTGAGCCCAAGTTAAAGGTGGGAACTTGTTGCTCAACATCTGCACTCTGAAGTTGTGAAGGTAAGATCCGAAATCAACTCTCCAAGAGCTTCACTTTGAGCTCTCAACTTGGTAGTTCGGCCATGGAAGCTTGAGTAACAATTGAGTGGGGTTTTGAGTTCTAGAACCCCTTAGGACTCCAAATCTATTTTGGAAGCTTAAAGACCCTATTTCCAACCTTCTTATATCCTTAAAGGAGTTTATAACTCACTTCTTTGATGTGTTCTACTGAGAAAATAATGTGAAAGCTCCAAGGGAAAATGTAAGGAGAAAGAAGTGCTTGGGTGATTTTGAGGTCGTTTTTACAACTCTAATGAGTGAGGTAACCGGATTCTGACTTGTACATACCACATGTAGTTCATTGTATATGCATTACGATTTGTTTAGTTCATGAAGCATGGTAGAGTAATTTCTATGGCAAGATTCATATTTGTGTGTTGCAAGCATGAAAATTAGTACCTTCAGGCCTCTAAGACACTAAATAAGATGTTAAACATGTTTGATAGTCTTAGGGGAATTGTTGGGTTGATTTTTGGGTGTTTCCCAATCTTAAGTAAGTCATTCCCAGAAAAAGGATCGATCCCTAGACCAAAGGGATCAATCCCAAAGGTTATGTCCTGCAAAGGATCGATCCCTTTTTTAAAAGGATCAAACCCTCAGGAAAAATGATCTATAACATCCCAAATTATGGTTTAGTATTTTCGGGTTTACCCGAGAGGTAAGTAAACCAAGTGAAATTACAAATTAAGTTGTTGGGCTTAATTTGGGTTGGCTTTGGGCCCAATTAGTAAAAAAAGGATTTTTGAATATGGGATAAAATACAAAGGACCAAAAGTGAAATTAGACCCTTGAGTGAAATGAAAGCTAGTTTTAGGGTTTTTATTATGTTTTGGGCGAGGGTTCCTCTAAAAAAACCCTTCATCATCTTTTTTTCTTCTTCCCTCTCCAAGCTTCCATAACCTCAAGTGGTGGTAAGATTTTATTTTCTTAATTTTATTAAGTCTCA